TTTATTTTTATAGTTTTTAGCAGAATTTTAAAGAGGCTGGTATCACAGGGGGAAAAAACCCTTATGTGTTAATTTGTAGGCAGAAAGTTACACAGTGTTATATAATTGAAAAGAAATTCTGGAAAAGATGAAGAAATGCTTTTTAGACTGTAGCTTCCAGATGCAAATAAAAAAACATATATTAATATGGTAATAACAGTCCAACAAATGTAGCATATTACATGGATTGTCTTTAAAATGCTTTAAAGGCGTTTAGGCCATTTCTGTGTTCAGTTCAAAGAGTTGGCAGGCAGTTTATCAATCATCAAGTGTGTACAGTTTGCCATTATTTAAACCAGAAATAGCTTATTTTCCCTATACAAATTTCCCCAAACTAAAAGAGAATGCACATAGTCAATACATTTTTGCCCTACATGAGGATCGTTGCCTACAACTAAATGGAGAGATGATGAATGTTATGGAACATGGGCTGGTGACGAGCGAGTTTGCACTTTTGCCTTTTTTAAATTTGTAATTAAATGTAATTGTAACTTTCTTTTCCCTTGGTTGTATTTAACACTTTTTATTGTAAACAGAGTCTCTTAGTTGAGATGGGCAGTGTAGAAATGTGATAAATAAATAAAGAAATGAAAGAAAACTCTACAGCTAAGGCTGAATTCTGTTGTTTATTTATATTATATTGAGCTGTAGTGGCACAGTGGTTAGAATGCAGTACTGCAAGCTACTTCTGCTGTTTGCCGGCTGCCAAAAGTTTGACAGTTTGAATCTCACTGGCTCAAGGTTGATTCAGCCTTCCATCCTTCTGAGGTCAGTAAAATGAGGAGCCAGATTGTTGGAGGCAATATGGTGACTCTTTAAACCACTTAGATGGAGCTGTAAAGCACTATAAGTGATATATGAGTCTAAGTACTATTGCTATGATAGAAAAACTGGGAGAATAAGATGAGTGCATTGTGTACAACAGTTGAATTAATTACTGGAAGAATAATATGCAAATTAACTATATGGCAAATCAAAAAGGCATTGGTTTAATGCATGGGTGTTGCTGTCACGTGATGTATAACGACCTTTTCCACAGAGCTGGGGTGGGTGTGGCCTGTGCATGATGCAACTGACCCACGGGCTGCCAGTTTGACACCCCTAGTACTAATGTTTCAGAGAAGGCAGGATAACATTGGGTTTGCATTTCTCAGTTGCTTCCCATCCACTTTGAATCACAGACCTCCCTTGCCTTGTATAGAGTATAGAATTATTGAAGAAACCCACATTATTCTGTGAAATATCCCGAATTAATGTATATAATGCAGTCATGATTTTATTAAAGTAAAACTATTAGCTCACTTTTTACAGAATGAAAAATAATAAAAATAGTCATTAAACCTTTACGGTAGCAAAACAAAAAGAATCAGGTTAATTGTGCCCAGGTAGACAGCTACACTTAGCAATATTTGACTAGTTTTGAAACATTCAGAAGAATCAGGCCTGGTTAATACTTGGATGAAAAATCACCAGACAATATTCGTTCTCTGGATAGTTTAAAAAAAAATCCAGAGAAAATGGAGTGCATTTCCATATCTTTGCAGATAAAACTTCATGGACATACAGCTTCATCTGCTTTACACTTTACATTTTTTTCCCTCTTGAATTATTTCTCCTTTACTTTTCATACACTGTGTAAAACTTAATAACTGCCTTAATTTTAGAATGTCAGAACTGGTGTTTTCTTTGGGAATGCAAGCAAGCAGGAGGGACAGAAAAAGCTGTTGTTGTTGTTAATCATTATTAATTAATATTCATTAATTGCTTTTATATTAACATTCTAGATAGAATTGTTGTTGTTTTTGTTCTAATCTTCAATTTGATTCACAGTCTGGGACTGGTAAAACATAACAGTTCAAGTCCTAACTAAGGACCTAAGAGGTGTTAAGGTAGCATCTGAGTATACAGGCAGTAGGATGTTGTTGTTTTTTTGGCCATGTCAGGATATTCAGGTCTAATAAGTTCAAAATTTTCATGTATTTGGGCAGTCCTTTGGGTATTGCTCCATGGAACCTATAACTATTGATACAACCATTGATTTCTTCCTCTGTAATCATTCAACTTCAATTGACAAATCATATTGTTATTTTTTCTAGCTCTTTCTAGAATTTTATATTTATTATTATTTTCATTAAACATGAAACTCAGTCAATTGAACATTTAAAAATGTGTCACAAATACCATTCACTGGTGCTAATGGTTGATACGGGGTTTCTGCCAGCATCCTAGATATTGACCAAGTATCTTCTTAAAATATATAATGTTCTGAGTAGTGCAGTTTTTTGCAGTTCCTCTGGTGTTATTACAGGAAGCTCCAATTTATTGATGTGTTTTGTAAAATTCGTGGACATGGTACCAAGTGCCCCGATGACAATGGGTATCGCTGTTACATGTTTTATCCATAGCCATGTAGTTTGATGGCCAGGTTGCAATATTTTGTTATTTTTTCCAGTTCTTTTTTTCCCCGACTCTGACATCTCCTGGTACAGCTAAATCAATAAACTGTACGCTTTGGAGGGCGGGGCTGACATTGCTACGACATGACATGCAATCTTGGAGTTCCAGGATTGCTGTTGATATCTTTGCTGCTGGATGGTCCTTTTGGACCTAAACCATCCTGTAGAGACAGTGATAGAGGAGGGCACATCCTTCTGATCACAGGGACATCACAAAGTCCCTGATTGATCCAGGAGAAGCTCTTTTTTCCAGTGAAAGAGAAGTAGCCATTGAAGCTGCAGAAGGTTGGGACAGCCCCTGAACGGAAAGAAAAACAGGGGAGAGAGTGTGTTGAAATTGTGAGATAAATTTTTACTATTGGAGAAGAGAACACCCAAAAAGCCTTAAGAGTAAAATTAAAATTGAAGACAGAAGAGAGCAAGCTGCAAATTAAACCTGAATTAAACTTAGTGTGTTATCTTTCTTTAATTTTACATTTTTTTATGGATGGAACTTTTACAAATGCCTCTTTCTTTTTAAATTGGACTGGTTTCTTTTTTCCCTCTTCTATTTTTTCTCTTTTTTCATATTTGTGGATTATGATTTTCTCTCTCTTCTTTTTACAATGCTCAGCTGGATTGTTTGCTTTAAAGCACTTTTTTTCTTAACCCCGGAATTTAAAAAGAGGGGTAGAGGCAGAGGAAAAAGAAGCAACACTGACATCTAGAGGCTGGAGGCTTGGAAACATTGTTTTTATTATCTCCTGTAAACAATTGACTCATATCTAATACTTCAAGGCTCTTGATTTTGTTTATTGAAAGGGATAGTGGGAAGAGTATGAAATGTTTATGCAGGTGCTCTTCTGGAGTACTATCAATAGCTGGACTAGAGTGAAGAGAAAACCTTGACATGGAAAATTATAGTAAACTGGTTTGAAATTTAACAAAAAAGCTTTGGATGTTTTAGTGGCAGTGTTTATAACCTGAAAGAATGGCGCAACATGAAGAAAAAAAGAATTAACATTGCAAATGATCATGTTTGAAATTCAAAAAGTACAAATAAAAACGTTGAAAAGAGGATGGAAAACATAGAACAAAAAACAGAAAAAATAGAGGGAAGAGTTGACAATATCTATAAAATGATGATGAAATTTGAAGATAGAGTTCAAAAAATTGAAGGAAAATATAAACAAAGTGATAAGAAAATTGTTGATATTGACAGCAAATCGAGCATGGTTGGAAACGACAGGAGTGGAATGTTGAAAGGAAAGATTAACGAACTGGAACCCTATCTCAAACCTCAAAACATGGAAGAAGAAAAGGGAGAAAATTTGGCAGACACAATGAGAGAAATTTTGGCAGAAGCACCAGTGATAACTAAAGATAAGCAGATGGAAGGAACAGATGGAGGGTTTCGAGTCTTTACAAGATATGTAAGGAACAACAAGGTGCCAAGAGAAGTCCACATAAGACTTATCACGAAAACAATTAGAATACAAATACCACAAATGGCAAGAGATAAAGGATTGCATTACTACTGGAAGGATACAGGATGAAGAAATGAAATGTTAGAATAAAAATTGAGTTAAACTTAGTTAAATTTAGAGTATCATGTATAAAATAAAGTATTAATAGCTATAGCTAAATAATTAATTAATAATGATAATAATGCATATATATATACATATACTAGATTGATAATATTAAATTTTATATAAATTGTAAGTGAGGATTTTGGGGAGGATGTTTGAAAGCTTTTTTATAAAAGATAAATAATTCTATATCGAATAGAATATAAAGATGTAATACTATTGGATGATTTTAGGATGATGTAAATGCCATAATATAAATTTATCTTAAATTTAGAATAATTTACATAAAAAGGATGTAATAATAGCTATAGTCAAAGGAACATTTAGTAACCATAACAATTGTATACATATATATTAGAATGATGATATGAGTCTTTATGTAAATTGCAAGTGCAGACTATTGTGAGAAAGCACAAAAGCTTTGTAACCAATCAACACACTGTAAGTAATTGGAGAAGGATTTTTATTTTTTGTGTGTTTATGTTTGTATGTTTTATGTTTGTCTAAAAATACAAACTTTTTTTAAATAAATAAATAAGTTGTATGCTTTGGCCCTCAATAACCGTGATGTCTGGTGTGTTGTGTTCCAAATGATGATCAATCTGTATTATTGTTGTTGTTGTTACTGCTACTACTACTACTACTACCATGCTTAAATGCCCGAATTGTAGAAAAAGACAAATGAGTATAAACTTAAGCATTTTTAATTCAGCGTACCTGCAGATATTTTAATATATCCATAAAATCACATAATCACAATTGTTCTTGCACACCAGATGAAAGCTTATCAAAAGAATTGTAGAAGGAAAATGCTTTTCTAGGGCACAGAAATGTGTTTCATAGATAGGCAAATGATGTTAAGGGGAGATGATGCTTATTTTTAAATGATTCATTTAATTTGTATAGAACATTTTCTTTCTTTTATCATTTACAGGAACAAGCATATTTACTGTTTATGAAGCTGCATCTCAGGAAGGTTGGGTCTTTCTGATGTACAGAGCAATCGACAGTTTCCCCCGATGGCGTTCTTATTTCTATTTCATCACCTTAATTTTCTTCCTTGCCTGGCTTGTTAAGGTACATAAACAAGAACCTTATAAAAAGGGTAATAAGGGGAAACAGAAGAAATATTCAGATTAGAAAACAACCAGAATAATGACATAGAAGATGCTCTGGCATGAATACAGGGGTGTACTGGCCATACTACTATCCTGAAACTTAATAGAGGGAGAATGTTGATTAATTGTATACATTATTTTGAGATAGTTACCATCCTAAAAGCTAAGATAATATCTTGTTTACAAAACAGACCCTCTCAAAAGTATATTAGTACTATTAGCAATTGTACTTATTACACTAGGCCAGTGTAATAAGTTTTGGGTACCAGGGTCCAGTTCCATGTAGAGACGTTTTTCTGCGGACCGCAGGAGGCATGATTTTGCATGCTGCCTACGTCCCATGGATGGGGCTTCACTTCTTTGCGCAACACAATTTCTGGCCTGCCGTGAACCGGTGCCACCCCATGAATCAGGGGTTGGAGATCCCTATACTACGCCATCATTGGAAGAATGTTAATGGTCCAGAGCAATAATGTGTTTAAATGTTTTCTAGGAACTTTCCCAGGTCTTAACTGGAAAATCCAATTGCTAACTTAAATTGCCATCACTGCTAGATTACTCTTTGGCAAACTTTCTATATCCGGCTCAAGGCTTTCAGAATTTCTACAATCTCCAGAATTTCAGTAGAATATACAGTATTTCACTGGTCTGGTGGAATACAGATATATACTTGGCATATGGCAATATTATAGAAGGAATGCAATTGACTTCTTTATCCTGGCTTTCTGGGTAACATGCTATAGCATTTTTTCTTCTACACTGAAGTAGTTGTTCGAATTGCCTTTTTAATCTGAGAATGTTCCATGCTGTCATTTTCCTTGCATTCACTTTCTAAGCTTTGTAATTCATTTTTTCCCCATCCTGGCACATTCAGTCAAACTACCATTTGGAATGATGCCAATGTCAGTGTTGGTTGCCAGTGTTTGCATAAGTTAGATACTACTGTGATTCCTGAATTATCTTATTATAAAGAAGAAGAAGACTCTTCAAAGAGACCAGGAAAACACTGGGAATGTTCTGTTGCAAGATATTCCGCTATTTTATCCAAGTGGTAATATCTTTTCATAGGGGCGATTTGGAATTGGTAGGAGACTTTAATATGAAGGTGATAATCAAATGATTCTAAATGTACAAGACTAAGAAATAACCTCTACTGAATGGAGAATTTTATTGAAACATTATATTAGCTATTAGACTTATTTTGGCCCCTAACCAAAATGTTAGTTCCATAGAGTAATCCTTTACATAATGTCTATTCATATATTGATTAACCATAAAAGCTAATCAAAACACTATATAATTCAATTTCTCAACATCCCCAAAACATGCAGGTGTAATATAACTGCTTCATAATTAGGCACACAACACTGATTGCATGTGTATGGATGCCCCAAAATACACAAACCTAACAAAGCTCTCCATCAATTGTAGCATTATCGGGGATCCCTACCTATAACATTGCAAAAGAATTAACAAAAAAGTTTGTGCAGCTCACAAGTGAAAGCAAACACTCCATCACACACACTCACACCCATTACAGTGCCTTCAAACATTCAGAGTCATGATTATAGATGAGGATGAAATCATGGTCTCATTTGATGTTGCAGCCCTTTTTACCATCATAGATCTGGAATTAGCCAAAGAATCTATGACTACATTGCTCCATAGCACACCTGACTTAACCAAATGCATGAAAATTGAAACACCCAGGATTATGGATTTCATAAAACCTTTGCCGAACCACATACTTCCAGTTTGGTGGAGAAACTTACCAACAAATTAAAGGTACATCCATGGGATCACCTCTTTTAGGACTTATAGCAGAGGTGGTTATGCAAGGCCTGAAAGCCATAGCACTTCCACAAATACAACCCAAAAATATGGATCAGATATGTAGATGACATCTTCATCATAATAAAAAGGACCAATTATAGAACACCCACAGAACCATCAGCAACAACTTCAGAGGAATCCACTTTACCAGAGAAGAAAAGGAAGACAACAACTCACTATCCTTCCTGGTCAACCTGATCAGCAGAGACCATGATGGCAAACTGGAAACACAAGTCTACTGAAAAACACCCACACCAAGGAAGCATTTCGCTATCAAAGTAATAACCCTTAGCGATTCTGTGGCCCAGGTCTCTCCACATCTTCTGATCTCGCATTAATTCTTCGAGTTTTTCTATGCTCTGACTAGTTTCAGCTTTGATGGTGTCCAACAACCATGTTCTTTGGTGGGCTAGTTTTCCTTTTACTACTTACTCTTCCAAACATGATTGCTTTCTCCAGTGAATTCCCCTGCATGACATGAACAAAGTAAATGAGACGCAGTTCTGTAAATTTGCTTGCCACTGACATGTTTGGAGTTATGCTCTCCAGTACCTGTTTGTTATTCAACTTTGCTGTTCAAGGAATACACAGGAGTTTTCTCCAGCACCACAGCTAAGCAAGTTACCTCAATCAAGGAACTGATTATAAGTTACCCCAAACAAGCAAACAGTAAACAGCCCAACCAATTAACCTCCAAGATCATTCCTACCAACACTGATAGACCAAGCCACCAGAATATAAATTGAGAACAAGCCCTTACTAGCCTTAATGATATTACCTAGTTTCAGAATGAAATGTTTGCAAGAAAACAACCAAGCTCAGAGAATATCAATTGTTACATGTTTCCCAGCTCTTAATTTTTGTTATCATTGAAGTTGCTGATATCATTGATACACTGCTATCATGCAAGATGGACTATTTGAAGTTTCAGGTGATGGTGCTGAAAACTCAAATTAATCCATTTTTTCCCTGTTCTTAGACGTGTGCTTGTCCAACTGGCCTCATTCCAGTATGTTATTAAGTTCTACTGAACCATTCAGATCTTGAACCAACCCCACCCAATATCTGTATTCTTACACACGAAAAGTATCTTCATTATTTATTTTCCTTCTTTGCTAGTATGACCTTTTTAAGTGATAACTGTTATACCTGCCATTAACATGGCTTTTAATGTTTTAAGTCTTTGGAGAATCTTTTTCAATTTGGGAAATAATTTAAAACGATAGAGTTGGGGGGTGTTTTTTACACCATCTACGTTTTCTGTGTCATTTTCTGCTTCTATTTCCTTCGACCCTTCCCTCTCCTCTCTTCCCAATCATCTTTGGGAGGATTAACTGTATTAGCAATTGACCTTGTGAATGACATACACAGCATCTTATCTCAGACTAGGCATATTCTCTCACATAAACCATAATTTTCTTCCCAAGCTTCAACAGGGGATGAATATGTTCTTCACCAAAACAGAGAGAGGTGGGGGGAGGGAGGGAGGGAGGGAAGGAGGGAAAGAGACCATTTGAAATCTCCTAAGAAATTCTTTTATTCTGATAATCATCAGTGGCAAAGTGGAACGTTTAAAATCCGGTACAACTCTCTTATTTTCACGGTAACTGTAAAGCCAGGAGATAACTTTCAAGCCACAATCATAAACCTGGCAGTTTAAGCTAGATAAGAGGCTGCATTATTACTCATCCTTTGTACCATCTTGCCTTGTGCATCTCATTTTTAACTATCAACTAGGTTGTAGTGTGCCAGAGTTAGCACTATATTTAGGTAATTGTAAACCCATCTGCGAAAATGAAATGCCTGCGCAGAAGCAGGAAATCATTTAGGAGCAGATTTTTCTCCATGTTTTATTGTAGACTGCTCTGCCTTTTCATTCTCTTTAGCAATTACATTTCCTCGGCCCAATTTATTATTACAGCAATAAAGTTTTTACTTCTCTTCATTTGGGTTTTCTGTTTGAGCTTCCAGCCTTTAGCTACTTTACAAACAATGAATTCCTGAGAACATATCCCTATTTTTCAATGGAGAATATTAACCTATCTATTTTACTATAATTTGTTTATATTGTATATGTTTGTTTGTTTATATAGTCACCCATTTGATGGAAAGTGATTAGTGATGTACAGCACGCCAATAAAACAGATCAAGATAAATCAAATGATACTATTAGCCATAATTAATTGGTCAGAAATTTCATTCAACCAAAGTTTTAACCAAGTCAAGCACAGTTATTGAAAGGTAAAATAAAGGTAAAGGTTCCCCTGCACATGCGTGCTAGTCGTTTCTGGCTCTAGGCTCTTCTCCGTTTCTAAGCCGAACAGCCAGCGCTGTCCGAAGATGTCTCTCTGGTCATGTGGCGACATGACTAAATGCTGAAGGCACGTAGAACATTGTTTCCTTCCCACCATGTGGTTCCTATTTTTCTACTTGCATTTTTACATCCTTTCGAACTGCTAGGTTTGTGTAAGCTGGGACAAGTAACAGGAGCTCTAGCGTTACATGGTGCTAGGGATTCAAACCGCTGAACTGCAAACCTTCTGATCAACAAGTTCAGCATCTTAGCCACTGAACCAGGGTGCCTCTTATTGAAAGGTAGACAAGGGCTATTGTTGGTCTATACTCATCTTGCTTCCAGTTGTTCCCCAACTTCCAAGCAAGGAAGCTCTTCACTTTCCCAATTGAGGGCAACATATTCATTAGAACATAAGAAAGTCTGTACCTCACTCATTTGTACTTCATCCAGCCTTCCTTCCTTCCTTCCTTCCTTCCTTCCTTCCTTCCTTCCTTCCTTCCTTCCTTCCTTCCTTCTAGTTTTTCTAGAACTTCTATTGTTTTTCTAAAGTTCTGATCTCTGTCAGTGCTTCCTCTTGGTTTTGATTTTGCCCCATGATTAATATTATTTTCCTTTCTTGTGCTGGTGCTATTCATATTCTTCATCTTCATTCCAGTGAAAAACTTTGTTGTCATATTGAAAATAAATGAAATATCCTGTCTTGTTACCAAAAAGGGAGGGTCGATGGAGGAAGCAGAATAGCGAGGAGCACAATAAATCTTATTTGTTATTTAAAACCAAAAGAGATTCTCCTAGGCACCTGGAGTAATGGCCTTGAGTGCTATTGTGGTGATGGATCCAATTAAGCAGGCTTTGAAAATAATCTTTGTCTGCCTCCTTACATATATGTTCTTTCTTTTATAGAACGTGTTTATTGCTGTCATCATTGAAACATTTGCTGAAATCCGTGTGCAGTTTCAACAGATGTGGGGGTCCAGAAGCAGTACAACTTCAACCGCAACTACTCAGGTAAACATGGCTAAATGTTTATATGCACAAATGGGTGTGTGTGGTAAACATTAGCTTTTATTTGTATAAAGCTACTAATAATGTGCGTGTGTATTTTTATACACATATAGGTAGGTAGGTAGGTAGGTAGGTAGGTAGGTAGGTAGGTAGGTAGGTAGGTAGGTAGGTAGGTAAGTAGGTAGGTATACACAAAATAGTTTGTCGTGAAAGCGACTGCCTGGAAGGCTCCTGGATTGGAGCTGAAAGGTGAAAGGGGAGCAGTATGCTCCCTCCCATATTTGGGTAGACCAGGTGATCTGACAGAAGGAAAAAACACTTAATCTCACTCCTGGTTCAGCTGATAAAGCGAGGAGAACTTGTGGCTTAGAGGTTAATACAACTGCCTAATATACAAGCAGCCGAAGTTTGAATCCCAGAAGGCTATGGCTAGCTGATGAGAGCTAAATAACTTGAAATGAAATAGATCTATACTAGTCTCCCTTTATTTGTTTATCAGTAAAATGTAACGTGTGGGGGGGGGGGCTTGCCTTGCTTATTTATAATGGTGTGGGATTTAATTTCTGTGGGGTTTTGTTGCTTCTTGGAAAGTGTGTTTTGATTGGCGATCTGACCTAATGTTAATTCTGTCCTGATTATTAATGTGTTGTGAATGGTTTGGATTACAGACCTTGGTGATAAATCATGCCTTGTTCTCTTGTTGGCATTTTCAGGAATTATCTAGCTCCAATAAAGGAGAATATTTGTAGCTCAGGTTTGAAATGCGGGGTTCTCATTGTTCTCTGAGCTTGGTTGTTTTCTTGCAGCCATTTCATTACCAAACTAGGTAACAACATCAGTATTAGTAACAAATGGACTTTGAATCCTCATTCAGTTATTCTGCAATTTATCTGGTCAATTTTTCCTCTATTTCCCCACTCAAATGTGTGGTTCAAAGGGTATTTTTGGTGTTTGTTCTTCATTGCAGTTCTGTGTACCTTCATCCTTGCTGTAATTGATATCCTGTTTGTCCAATGTACTGTCAGCTGCAATCTTGCCGTTGACTCTGTAAATTGTCTTTCTTTCTTAGTGAGGTATCTTTTGGTTTTCACTGGGTTTGGGGGATGGGTGCTTTTGTTTTGCTTTTTTGGTAGTGCTTTTGTGAGTTTGTGGGCAGCTTATAGTCATTTTCATAGCATATCTTACCTACTAATTGATTTTCACATATTATATTGCCTATATTTCATCATGTAAACTTTGTTTCAAACATTATATAGTGGTTCCACCCTAGACATTCCATTCTTCTAATTAAGTTGCAGTGTGCAATTTATCTCATCATGGGTAGTAATCATACAATAACTAATACTCATAATTCAATGGATAACCCTTAACATTTATATAGATTTATTTATTTATTTGAATTATTTCTATCCCCCTCTCAGGCTAACAAGGCTTACAAGCAATATCAATATTTGAGCCACGCAGAGTTGTATTTTTACATGGGTAGCCATACAAATCTTTTATTTATTTATTTATTGACTCATCAATAAAAATACGAGATTATTTCAAAAGCATCAAGCTTATAGGATCTTTCCCATGGAGTAAGTGATGATAATAGCAAGAGTGGTCATGAAAAGGCCTGAGACAGCCTGCCTCCTTCTCATTCTGGCCCTTTTCCAACAGAATAGTTGGTTTTTAAGGCCTGGGAGCAGTGGTGGGTTGCAGGCAGTACACCCCGGTACGAGCATACAGGTGCCTGCTGGGAGCACCAGGTACCCTTATGGTATGGAGCTTCAGATGGCCCACCCGCCTGCCCACCGTCCTTACCTGTATTTGAGCTCTTTGGCACTTATGTGCATGTGCACGGAGCGTACGGCGCCTCCACAACACTGCTGAGCAGCTGGAGTGTCACGGAGGCATTGCGGAGTGTCACAGGAGGTAAGGACACATGCACGCGCTGCAAGCGTCCATGTGGTGGCCGCTGGGCCCTGTTGCACTGTATTGGTTGCAACGGGATCCGGAACCCACCACTACCTGTTAGGAAAAGCAAATTAGAGAAGGAAGGAGACATTCTTTAGCCACCGTAGCATTGCACTGGAGAGGAGAATAAGCAAGGAAACATGGCTTATATAAAGCCATGACATTATTTCTTAGTCACTCTATGTTTCATTGCAGTAAATTACTGCAAAAAAAATGCACATTTTTAGTATTCTGCAATATCTATGTTGACGCGGTAGCTCAATGGCTAAGACGATGAGCTTGTCGATCAGAAAGATCAGCAGTTCAGCAGTCTGAATCCCTAGCACCGCGTAACGGAGTGAGCTCTCGTTACTTGTCCCAGCTTCTGCTAACCTAGCAGTTCGAAAGCATGTAAAAATGCAAGTAGAAAAATAGGAACCACCTTTGGTGGGAAGGTAACAGCATTCTGTGAGCCTTTAGCATTTAGTCACGCCAGCCAAATGAACATGGAGACGTCTCCGGACAGTGCTGGCTCTTCGGCTTTGAAACAGAGATGATAATCTCCTTGGATGTGAGGGCGATCTGGCTGCGACATCTGTCACCCCATTGATCGCCAGGGTTGATTCGGCTGATTTGGCTGGCTAGGTGGGTGTCCCCTTCCTCCCTCACCACTCCATGTGCGTCCCTCCCAAAGCTGCGCGCTCGGTGGAAGAGGACGACCATCCCAGAT